TTCAACAGCCTTTTTCTTTTGATTAAATAAGAAAAGCAATGCGTGTCGCAAATGTTCTTTTTCAGGCACAAAACTCGACATGATCACTGAACGATAAAACAAAGACGCTAGTTTTTGGCGGACTCAACTTGTGTGTGTTTGTAGTTTTAAATGTCAGACGAACAAAATGACGTATGTGTCAAATTAATACGCTGCGTACTTTTCGCTGGCGCCATCTCTTAGTTAAACCGGAAAAAACTTATGCATACACCTGGTATATATTAGAGCTCGTATAATAAAGGTTCTTCAATGCGTTGCAAACGTTCTGCCATCAGTCGCGGAGAATGGTAATTACTAATTACAAAAGCCGATATTCACGATCGGGTCTAAGTAGGTTATCGGAGCCCGCTCGATTCAAACATTGTCGGCAAAAAGAGTATAACTACCATGAATAAATATTCAGTATTAAATTCCACACAAGAGATATTTTTTTACATATGATTAACAGATCATATGCCATATACTGATATCATTCAAACTCTTCAACATTGAATTAATTTCGTCCGACTTGAACAAATTTACCCCTGAACAGGTTAGAGGTATCATAAATTAGATGTGTGATCTATATAATTTCTTTTTTTTTCTATCACCTATATAAAGTACGTACAGAAATTCTGATATGATAATATAACTTGCAACCGAGATATTTATGGTCAGTTGTACTTTTTCTTAACATTTTCAGAATATATTATTAAATAAGCCCTTAGGCTTTATGGCATTTAGCAAAGGCAATTAGGCCATTCGTCGATGAATCATGAGTTGTTATAGTTTTCGTGTTCTCCAACTCTGGTTCGATAGTTTTGGCTAATTGTTTCCCCAACTCCACGCTACATAAAAAGATTATGTTAAAAGATTTCTTTAAATCATTTCTATACATAAATAAAAAAAACTTATATTTTTATGTAAATAAAATTATCTTACCCCCATTGATCATACGAATTAATATCCCAAATCATACCCTGTACAAAGATCTTGTGTTCATACATTGCTAGAAAAAAAAGGAAAAATATAGTAATTACCTATATTTAGATGCACAATTATATTTTTTAATATACAAAATATATTTAATAAATTATAATACAACCCCAGTGAGAGAAAGAGATAATTTATCGTGAAAAAAAAAATATACGAAATAAATTATTTTAAATATAAAAATAAACAAAGTCCGTACATATAGACAACTTCAACATGTATCTTCACAAATTATCATTTTTCTGCAAGTTGCATTACGATTCATCGTCTAACTAGCATCATTGATGCCGATGATGATACCGAGCCATAACGCATGCACAAGTGTCGCGTGAACGTGAGCAGCTTCGGCCGTCTTCGATCGATTCGCTGTCTCTCCCTTTCCAACAGCTATTGTTAACTACGGCTATTATTATCTCGTCGCTCACGGGCGCGCGACGCTTGTGTCTACGTTGTGGCTCATTGGCATCATTGAACCTGCACATATATACATCGATAACAGTAACTTACCGATCAAAGAACCGAGAATAAAAGGTGTTAATTTCTTCACCATAATGCTATTTGTTGGTCTGTTTCCCTCGAATATCTTATGCGGCAATAATAAATTCACCTGCTCCGCACTCAATCCCGATTTTTCCAATTCTGCTCGAGCTTCCTTCTCATTTTTGCCTTTCATTAAAGCCTCGGTTTGTGCGAAAAAATTCGCGAGTAAAATCTTGTGATGTAATGTACCTTGTACCTGCAGCAAAAGAATTTTCAACAGAGTAATTGGAATCTATAGATCTTCTTAATTTTCTTTATTCATTTCTTATCTTTGTCTTTGTGATAATGCTACAATTACTTACTTGGTTTTGAGACTGAACAGGAATTATGAAATCTGCTGGTACAAGCCTAGTACCTTGATGCAACAGTTGATAAAACGCGTGTTGACCGTTAGTACCTGGTTCACCCCATACGATTGGACCTGAAAATATTATGTATTTTAATATATATTCCTCATAATTAACATATTTATATATATAACATATACATGTATAGAACATACCAGTAGAATAATTTACAACCTTCCCGGCGCGTGTTATATATTTCCCGTTACTCTCCATATCGCCTTGTTGAAAATAAGCGGCAAACCTATGTAAATACTGGTCATATGGTAATAATGCATGCGTTTCAGCTTTGTAAAAATTGTGATACCATATACCGAGCAAAGCTAATATGACAGGTATCTGAAAAAGATACACAACAGATCATTAATACTTTAAGTCATTTGTAACCTAATTCTTACAAGTCGCAATATTTACATGCAATGAAAGAGTGAATGTGCAGATAAAATTTCACAGGTTAATGGAAATCACAAGAGAATATAATACTACAGCTCTCAATAAACTATAAATATCAATATAATTTCAAAGATACTCAAATTTTGAATTCCTAACTCGGTGATTGTGCTACAATTCAAATGTGAAACGAATGTTCAATATAGTTCAATGTGCCAAACAGATCAACATTCTACATACTTACATTTTTTTCCAGTGGTGCCGTGCAGAAATGTTGATCCATAAAGTGAGCACCATCTAAAAGCTTCTCAAAATTATCGAAACCAATTGATAAGCAAATCGATAAACCGATAGCTGACCATAACGAATAGCGTCCGCCAACCCAATCCCAGAAGCCAAACATGTTTTTTTCATCGATGCCAAATTCCTTAACTTTTTGCGAATTAGTGGATAATGCGACGAAATGACGAGCCACTGCAGTTTCCTAAATGGTTTCGTACCGTAAAACCTAATGCCAAACAAAATGACACCACGTTCAATTTGAAACTTGTAAACATACATCTTTCAATGCTTCCAAAAACCACAGTTTCGCAGAAGTTGCGTTAGTTATAGTTTCCTGTGTAGTGAACGTCTTAGAAGCTATTATGAACAAAGTTGTCTCTGGATTTAATTTCTTGAGAGTCTCAGCTATATGAGTGCCATCAATGTTGCTGACAAAGTGAACTCTAGGTCCAACGCTATAAGCTTTTAAAGCTTCAGTTACCATAAGTGGCCCCTGTGGGCATAAAAGCATAAACACTCAATATTGCATAAACATGTAACAATTACGATAAAAAAAGAGACTGTAAAACTTACCAAATCAGAGCCACCGATTCCAATATTAACGACATCTTCGATAGGTTTACCGGTAAAACCTTTCCATTGTTTCGTCAATACCTGTAAATAAATATATTTAATGTATTAAGATACATTATGTGAGTAAATAAAAAAAAAATCAAATTTTACCTCGTTTGTGAAACTTTTCATATGTTCCAATACCGTATTAACATCTGGCATCACATCTTTTCCATCTACCAATATCGGAATATTCTCTCTATTGCGCAGAGCAATATGCAAAACTGCTCTATTTTCTGTGAAATTGATTTTTTCGCCACTGAACATAGCATTTCTTGCAGCTTCTATCTCCCGTACACGAGCCTGTAAGATGATGCAATTTAACAAAATGAATAATTTAAGAGTACTACTAGAATAATTTGGTATATAATCTCATATATGTACCAAATTCAATAAAAGTCCAAGTACTTCTTCGTTAATCCTATTTTTGGAGTAGTCCAACAAAATTGGACCATCTTGTGGAGTAGAGAGCTCCAAGCTGTATCGACAAAAATATACAGTAATTATTTGATATATATATAGCTTCTTATAACTCCTGCAAAAATGCAAAATAAAATCACTGTCTTAATTTGCATTTAATATCTCTCACATAATGCAATGCTCGATAAAAACCAGCTATTTTCCTAAGATGTATCTAAAAAAAAAAAAGAAAAGAAAAAAGATAAACCCTCTTGTATAATGAATAATCTTGAAACAATGTATAAAACAATTCTTCCTTCAAAACGAATAATTTCAAGAGGTCATTTCAAAGTCACGCTTAAGACGAAGCGTATCTTACCTAAATTTTTCGAAACGTTTGTTATCTCGCTGGAACATATCATATATGTTAATTTTTGAACCATTGCTATCGAAGTATTGTTGCAACTGATTCCACGCGGATTCAACTAATAAATCTACTTTGGGTTTCATCTTGTTATTTAAGAAAAATCTGTGCGAATCACGAGAGCAAAACTATGTCAGATTCTGGACTTGTCACTAGTCGCGTCTTGGGTTGTGTTCTACAATTCACTACCAGCGCTGAAAAATTATAATTTATGTTAGGGAGAATTCACATCACGACAGCGCGAACACGTGCGTTCCATTACACGCTCGTAACACTTCGAGCACTCGTTCCACTAACGTGAGTGTTACGCCCATATCAGACTGCGGATTGGGGATTGAGATTGAATTGAATTTGGCTGATCAGTGCAAAGTTAATTGGGCTCAAGTTTAATGAAATTTAGTGGATTCTGCACCGATTGTTTAAATTTCAACCCAATCTCAATTTCCAATCCGTAGTCTGATATGAGCGTTAAGAAACTAGTTATAAAACTAAGTATAACAGTGAACGCCACGGGCATTTAGTGGAATAGCTTGAAGGATGATTGCATGCTTATAACGGAACACACCCCAGACTGTATTTTGACATTTCTTTCAGTTTTAACAAATAAGAAGATCGAGAGTTTGGTTTCGTCAGGCAGAGCGCTACTGTTGCCGTTTCATAGCGATCGCTGACATGTATCGAATCCACTCCATTGTAGAATGATTTCTTCTCATTCTAATAGCAAAGATTGCGGTCGTAATATTTGTTAATTGAAAAAACCTCTTCCTTGCGACGAACATTAATTGAGGAAGATTGATGAGCAACATGACGTCAGCCAACAGGTTAGTCTTTGTTTACATATTTATAAGATAATATAACCCTGCAAATTGAAATATACAGAGACCATTCAATATGCGTGACGCATATTATCAACAACTGTGATGATTCTATTATTTCTCTTGGTTGTGAATCGTTCAGGAAAAGAGGTCGTGACATAGAAGAGGAATCCAGCGAATTTATGCCATTGAGCAAGCGGATCAACAATCTTCATATCAATGGTCTGTCTGGCCTGCGGGAAAGAGCAATGGAAAGGATGGAAACTGACGATTGGGAAAGTGAGAATTTTGTGCCATCCCCAAGTTGTTCGGAGGTTTCCCAAAACTCATCCGGGGATACCTGTGGCTCCAGCCAAAGCAGTTTCACCACCGAATACAGACCAGACTTAGATGCCATGTCAAATCCTTTTTATTATGAGAGTAACAAATTACTCTTTTCCTTGTACATGGAACGTATGCAAAGGAGGTTAAACCTTTATTAGTAAGTGAATATGTTATTGTTTCTATCGTAACTGCGAAGCGCCTGCTTAACACTCGACGATGTCTCCTTTTGCCATTCCTCTATGTGATATAGTTTGACCGTCTTCGATCATTTGCACTGATCATACAGATTATAATAAAAGATATCAGCTAACTGCAAAGTAAATAAATTTGGAAGAGATGGGGTTAATGGATGATACATCCTTATTGTGCACAACTTTTAGGATATCAGGTATTATTTATCATATAGTTCATGAAAATTTTTTGTAAATGGAAACTTACAAATGACTTCCCTGCGATCCGTGTGTGAAGTTGTAGAACCATTTGTAGAACTAATTTATCATTAATTTATTTAAGTTCTTCGTGCTCCCCTATCATATTATATTTCTAATGAATTAACGGTACAATACACGGGATTCTTAAATTTTAAGTCGCATGTATGAAACATTAGGATAACAAAATGAAGCAAATAAAAGTTATTTAGTATAGTTTGAACCAGGTGTATATTTTCAGCGTCATTCTATCTTTTTTATTGTTTTACATTTAATAAGTGGTAGAAATAGAAATGATGCCTTATTTTCCTTAATAAATCAGATAATAAACCTCTATATTTATCTTAAAATATGTATTTTTATTCTAAATTTTATATATCATCCGTTGTAACAAATTTTAAATAAAATTAAGAACTATAGAAAATATTAAAATATAATTACATATAAGTGCCGCTAACGGTAACAATTCGAGCGGCGATAATTACTCTTCGACATCTAAAAAATTGATTGTTAATATGAGACGTTTATTTAACATATTTTGTAGCTATTCTCTAACATCAAACAATATTTTTCAAATCGATGATTTCATTGAAATATATTTTTAGATCTAAAAAGATATATCAATCAGATGCAAGGTTTCACTATTTATTTGTTACTAGACTGGATTGTTAAGCGAGGTCTACAATGAGAATTTAAGCTCTAAGCCTTAAGAAATTAAGCATTAAGAAATTGACCAATCACAGTCGATTATTCTTCTCATATTCGACTGTGATTGGTGGAGCTTAAATTCTCATTGTAAACTCCGCTTTACTAAACCGGATTAACGTTGCCATGTAAACGTAGTTTTTGATGTCTATACTGGAGGTACTCTACAATAGGCGAGTCTACGCCAATGCACTCCCTGAATACCGGTGTTTAGAACACGTGTGTTGATTTGAGTAGAAATCGAAATTAAAAGTTTACTTTCGATAAAAGTAAACTTAAAATCAAAATCGGTAAAATGAAGGAGATGTGCTTAAAGGTATGTTGAATTTCATAATTATTCGCAGAGACGAATCCTCCATTTGCAGGTTATATTTATTGCTTTACATATTCGTAGAGTTTTGAGGACTCTCTCCATCGACCACTTTATATTTTCGTTTAATGATCATTTGGAAATAGCAGCGTTCAGTACCTTAATGTTATCTTCATTAATTTCCGATTGTTTCAAAAAACTTTTTAAAAATATTTAATCGGGAATATTTCGGATTATCTCACCAAATTTCATGAGAATCGAAGAGTAGATTTTTCTTGGAACTTTAGCTAGTTTTCTGTATCAATTTTTATTTGTTCCAAACGAATATAGATGAGTAACAAATTTAATAACATTTAAACAATTTCAGAAGAACAAGAAAAAACATGATAAACACAATGAAAGCTCAAATGATTTTGAGAGAAAGTCTACTAATAATGATCTAACGAATACTGAATCTGATAATGCAGATTTAATGGAAGGCACTAATGATTATAAGAAAGAAAAAGAAGAAGAAGAATTAGACAATCATGAGATTGAATTACTTATATCAAAACAAGAAAAGAAGAGGAAGAAAGTAACCGACGAAATAATCGAAATCGCTTCTAAAAAGATGAAAAAATTTGAAAACAGTCTCTATAAGCAACCAACGGTTGAGGAGCTCAATCAGTTTAGAGAGACAGAAAATTTATTTCATTCAAATTTATTTCGATTTCAAATTGAAGAAGTTCTCAGTGAAGTAAAGCTTAAAGATAAATATAAAGTATTATTTAATACCTGGTTTGAGAAATTAAAAGAAGCGATAGAATCCATTGACGAAACTGAAGAGATATTGGTTAGTAAAATGACTCATACAAAATGTCCCATTTTAATTTATCCACCCCAAAAGCTTTTTTATTTTTGATTGTAGAAAAAAATATTATTGGAGACAAAATACTATAATAGGGAGTGTTCTAAAAACATCTCGATAAGATCTACTTTTTATCTGAAGAAAAAATAAATTTCTATTTAAAAAATTAATCACTTTCAAGTTTTTTTGAAAACGATGACATCTATGACATTACTTACATTGGAATCAAATCGAACAAGTCTTGTTTGAAGTATTTTTTTCTACAATCAAAAACAAAAAAAGTTTTTGGGGTAGATAAATTAAAATAGGACATATATTTACAATACAATACAGCAGAATGAAATAATCTATTTAATTGATTAATTGCAGCTTGTAGATAATAATTTGGAAGATGAGTTAGGCGTGCGTGTTCCCGTACCACGTGTACCGGAAGAAACCAAGAGTGTTTTTAAATTTCTGAAACCATCTGACATCAGTGTTGTTGGATCTTTCAACTCAGAATGCGTACTCGGGCCTACTGTTACTGTAGATGTAATGGTGGAAATGCCAGCTGCCTCATTTCGAAAACAAGATTATCAAAATTATATATATTTTAGAAAGAAAGCGATATACCTGGCATTTGTAACATCGAGCATTAAAAACGATATCGCGGAAAGTAAAAGGTTCATCGGCGACGATTTAAGACCTTGTTTGAAGCTTCGGCCTAGTGGAAAATTAAATAAAAAAATCGATGTGATAATACACGTATCTGCGCAGGAAGCCAGTTTTAATCTGAACAGGTTCTTGCCAGAGAAAAATAGTGTTAGACCAAGATGGTATCTTAATAAAAAATCTCCGGATGACGGTAAGTAATTTCTATCGGAGAGTATCACAAAGTCACATTGTGAACATTATGTTACATTTTACATAAAAAAGAACTGTGCCCAATTTGAGCCCTGAATGAATCAGTCATGGGTCATATATTAATCCATAGAGGGATCTTCACGAAGTAGAAAACAAAGGTTCTAATTATCTAATTGAAGTCTAGTAAATATACGAATCTTATCAGTAGCTGCTTCGGAGTGATATCTCATACCAGTGGCTAGTTTATGAGGTTGTGCCCATGGAACTTTTTGACTTTCTTTTGATGTCCTACAATGTTCTAGCCAATGTCCCAATGCTATTCACCAACTTCAATAAAAAACTGAGCTGATAGTCCTTTCTCACGTGTCTTATGTTACATTCTGTTACAGAAGCTTTACTACCAACTCCGCACTATAATTCTTTAATAATGCGTGACCTGACAATGAAGAGCACAAATTCTGAAGTTGCGCAAATAACAAGGGAGTATCCGAATTTGAGGGATGGTATAATTCTATTGAAAATATGGCTGAGGCAACGTGAATTGAACGAAGGCTATGATGGCTTTACTAGTCACATCATGACTATGTTTGTCGTCTATTTGTTACGCATGAAAAAACTTAATACATTCATGAGTAGTTATCAAATCGTGCGGAATGTTTGGATTTGTTTGGGTATGTCAAGAAACTGTTAAATCAGTAGATTGATTACGTGACTCTGTTTAAAATAATAATTAAACTTATTTCATATAGCACAGAGAAATTGGTGCGAATATGGGATCACTATGTGCGAGGACAAAGAGAACCAGAAACAAGTATCCCATTATCACAACTATTATGATTGTGTCTTCCTCGACATCACAGGTTATCACAATTATGCAGCATATTTATCTACGTACACTTTCTCGTGGGTGCGAAGAGAAGCAGAGCTTTCTCTGAAACATTTGGATAATATACACGTGGACAGCTTTCAAGCTCTTTTTATGCGAAGTGTGCCGTTTTACAGAGCGTTTGATCAAATTTTATGGTAATTTATATGACTTGACATAAAAACTTCTATAAATGCCAAATTTGTTTGAATAATTTGTCGTTTTATGCATTTTTCAGTTTTCAGAAAAGTACAATTTTAGAAAAAATTGTAAACAATAAATCCACCATTAATAACAAGATCAATTATGGGCCAGATAAACGTAGTCAAGTGATTAAATTGATTGTTGAAGTTTTACAAAAAGGTCTAGAAAACAGGATCGATCGATTGTGCATATTACCGCACAAATTCACAGAATGGGAGTGCACCGAAGACACACCGAATAATATTGGAAACCTTACGATTGGATTTGAATTGAATCCTGAAACTTCTTTTAACATTGTAGATAAAGGACCCGAAGCCAATCTAGCTGAGGTAAGCAAGCAATTGAAATAACTTTAATTAAAATATAAGATAATAAAGTAACGTATAATAATTGCCATTTGTATTTTACAGGCGGCTAATTTCCGACAATTCTGGGGAACTAAATCGGAATTGCGGAGGTTTCAAGATGGATTGATTCGTGAGGCCGTAATTTGGTCGAAGGGTAAAACTCTTGCGGACAAGAGAGCGATATGCAAAAAGATAACCATATTTTTGTTAAAGACAAAGTTTAATATTTCCAAAGATCAATATTTGTTCCTCACTGACCAACTGGACGATTTTCTAAAGTTACATAAGGTAATCTCGCTGTTAGTTGCAAAGATGTCCAAGTTATTCAGTTGCGCTTCTTTGTAGTCTCCAATTATTATTATATTTTTCATAATTTACTATTAATATTTCTGTTCAGTTCAAAATAACGCATTTCACGTACGGAACCGGCGAAGAAGCTACGTTAAGGGTTTTGAATGCTTTTAATAACTTAGAACAAAATTTAATGTCGCTGAGCGATATGCCACTGACGATAAACGGCGTGCAAGGATCGAGTCCGGTCTTCCGATATACAGAGGTCTTTCCGCCGCTTGCTACTATTTATCGAAGCAGGAAAGATATCACCGAGGAAGATGAGAATTGTTTGAAACTTGCGAAGAATATGAAAGGATGCCCCGCGTATGTTCACGTGATCGAAGTGACGTTACAATTGTCGACCAGTGGAAAATGGCCCGAACAATTGGAAGCCATTAAAAAAACGAAAACAGCCTTTTATATACAAATCGCGGAATGTCTCAGGAAACAACATCAACTAAAAGTACAAGCTAATCCCTCTTATGTCGATGTGATGCAAGTTAGTATGATATTGACAACAAAGTATAGTATGTAATGGTATTGACATACAAAATATAGTATATATAATAAGTATACATATACGATTACACTGGAGTATCGCATATAACTCTTTTTCTTATTAATATAAAATTCTATTTTCATCAGGATGGGTTAATTTTTCGATTAAGAATAGCAATTCAGAAGGAAATTGCATTAATAAAGCAAATGAAAGAAGAGGGACTTATCAAGTACAGGGACAATGAGGAATCCATCGAATTGGAAAATAAATTATTTCATTTGCCGAAACTGAGTAGTGCGTTGCATGGGTAAGGGTTAATGAATATAATTATCATTGGCAAACATATGTTATGTACCACCATTGATATATTGTTATTTTTAAATATCATATTCCCTCAAATAGATTGCATTCTCAACAGCCATCGTTTGGTCCCGCCTGCTGTATAGCTAAACGATGGTTATCGGCGCAACTCTTAGACGATGCTCATATACCGAACATTGTGGTTGAATTACTCATGGCATCAGTGTATTTGACTCCAGAACCGTATAAACCGCCTCAAATGCCGCAAGTGGCATTCCTACGATTTCTGGAGGTTGTCGCGAGGGCACCTTGGAATACCGATCCGATCATCGTTAACTTTAACGACGAAATGACCCGTAAGTACTCTTTCGATATTAACAATAATTTGTACAATAGTTGTGTCACTTTGGACATTGCTTTTTACTGTGCTTATATATGAAATTTCAGACGAAGAAATCTCCGCCGTTGAAACGTTATTCGGTACCGTTCGCAGTTCGTTACCACCGTTATTTATATCAACTCCTTACGATCAGCAGAAATCACTGTGGACCAGGAAAGCACCTTCGCACTTGATCCTGCACCGTATAAGTGTGCTCTCGAAGGAGTCGTTGAGAATATTCAACGATCCGTTGGTCAAAGATACGGCATTAGACGTGAAACACATGTTCCGCCCTCCGCTGTCGGAATACGACTGTCTGATACATCTGAAGTCGACAATGAATCCGCGAGGAATCCAGGCAGTCGATGTGCTCGACAATACGGACGTTGTAGATCTACATCCCTACAAGACGCATTCGCAACAAAAAATTCCAATCGTAGACTTCGATCCTGTGCAACATTTTTTGAGGGACTTGAGGGTTCGTATCTTAAAAGCTACCATTTAGGAGATGAAAATCGGCTCGGTTCTCTCCCGGTCAATATCGAGATATTTCTGTCAGATTTTACATTCGTTTGATTTTCAGGACGGTTACGGCGAATACGCTCTATTCTTCCACGACACTTACGGCGGTACCGTAATAGGAGTTCTGTTGCAACCTTCCGCCTTAGAACGTAAACAATTTAAAGTATCAGAGGCAAATTGTCGAAAGCTCGACAATGACAATCTCGTTTTAAACATATCAGCGATGATCGAGGATTTTTACATTTTGGGCAAAGACATCATACGTTCTATTGACATTCCGAACAATCGCGTTTCAACATGAATTATTAAGCTAAAATATTAATCTTAAGTTAAGTTTAGATCAAGTATCCATTAATCTTACTTAATTCTCCAAGATTAGACTTAGATTAATGTGATATGTAATTTATTGTAAATATATAGAAAATCATTTATTATAAAGAGGGAAACTGAACGATACACTAAATAAGAAAAAAAGTATGTGAACTTATTCTGCATCGCGTGTTAAATTATATTGTGACAGAAGTTGATATTTTTATCGGAAGGCAATTTTACGTTCGAGTCTCTCACGATTGTTCAATATTGTTTCTCAATAGCTGGCGGCGCTCAGCTAGCCGGAATGTGATCGAGCTTCTGGTTGCCGTGTCGTTAAAACAACAGTTAAAGAAGTTTGTCTTCGAACGGACAGATTCCCCGGTTATCTCCTTGTAAAATTATAACAGGCGTGAGTGTTTTAACGCTGTAAATACAAGTTTTGATTTTCTTAACTATTCGACGAATGACGCAACGTTCTGTAAAATATAACGTGAGACGCGCGCGCACACACACACGCACGCACACACCATATATCTATGCGAGTCGCCTTTGATGATTAGACAAAGTATGCCGCCAGTTGTGCCATTTTGTCCTTGGGAGGTTTCGGTTTTCCTCGATTGCGGCTCTTAGTGTGGCCCCGGCCGCGCGTAACGACCGGTTTCGAAGCCACCGCACGGTGCTTTTCTACTAACGGGGCGAAAGCCGGAGTACAGAATACACAGCCGGACATCTCCGTTGCCTCGTTTGGGAGCTTACTTTTCTCCTGAAATCGACAGACACGTGAACACGAAGGCTGTACATTCGTGACAAATGATCGAATTCTCTTATTACCTGCTTGTATTCGACGGTTACCAATTGCGCGCCGCAGTCACATATGTCCGTGTCAACCGTCACTTTGTGTGCGTTCTCGAACAAATGGATGATAACATCGCAACGATTGCACCCTAATTTCCATTTGGGCGCAGCCGAAGGATCAAGTACAAGGATACCCAGATCGCATTCCAGACAGCTGGACAAGCCGTTCGAATTCATGCCGTGCGGGCACGTCGGATGCGTACACGAATTGCAGCCGCTCATTCCTTTTTTCATGTCTCTGGAATTCGCAAGAAGAAGGTGCGATTCTCTCCCGGAAACTGTTTAACTGTTTAAGTGCATACCTAAATGGTGGATTGTTGTAACAATATGGACAAAATGTGTAACTTTTCCCTCGCGTTCCGGTCGACCACGAAAGCAATTCGAAGTCGTCCAGTGGACACTTCAATTCTTTATATATTCGTATATTACCGTTTTGCGGTAAATTGTAAGTTTCGTTACAGTGCGCGCAGTGCATCCTGGATGGCTTAGTTTGTATATATTTCATGTACCGACGACATTTACCGCATCTGTAATATATATGTCAAATGAACGATCGAAAGAATATTTACAAAGTTCCAAAATGACTATTTGTGATGACGATATTTGGGACTTTCGTGGCGTGGAATCGTCCCGGTTTGGCGTCATGTTTCTTGTCAAACGTTTCATAGTTGGACAGGAGACAATTCGACAAGAAACACGGCTCCACCAATCCGGAAGTCTAAAAACAAAGAGGACTAGTTATATAATTGTTCGCTTTATACCTAGAATGTGCTTTACCGGACGCCGACAGCGGTGAGAACGAGACTTCGAACAACTGATCCATAGCCTCGATATTTTGCACAAAATAAAGAAACTTTTGCTTGAAAATTTCGACAGTGTGCTGCAAGACAGCGTGAAAATCGGCACCGCCCAGTGCTATTAGATTTAATTGCTCTTCCACTGCAGACCTCATTGTGGGCAAAACCAATTCAGGATCTATCTGAAAAAAAAAGAATATATATATATTGTATACAGAATATACATATTGAATTTTTATCAAACTCATTTGATTTTACAATCTCTTTAAGAATACCTTCTGATATCCGTGAACCAAGACGATGCCGAGAGAAGTGGGTACTAATCTTCTGCCTGCTGTAACATTAACATAGTTTCTGATGCAGATATTGTTTATATGCACAGGAATCGAGGCGTCTGTCCCGATGCCGTGTTTCTCCATGAGAGTTATCAATTCCGCCTCTGTTAGATAATCGGGCGGTTGCGTGTAACATTCGAGCAATTTCGCCTATGAGCAATAAGGCAAAATGAAGGGTCAGCGTCGTGCATGTAGCTCTAAAGTTCGGAAAAAACTTGGTTTTTTTCTACGGATTCTCGTAGTTTCTAAAAAACCCGCTACATTTTCATTACGCGGCAAAAGTAATGATCTTGTTTACCTCTTGTATATTCATTTTCTCCTCGGGCGTAAATTTCGGCAGAGTGTCGCTACTGCCAAGTGCTTGCCAAGTAAGAATACTCGTATAGCCGGGATCTAGCAAACTGTGACCGGTCGCTGTAAATATTTCCATTCCCACCTCGAATTTCACCGTAGTACTCAAGTACTTGCAATCTCGTGCTAACTGTAACATTCGAGACATGTTGAAAAGGGGGAGAGAGAATATATAATCAAAGGCTACATTTGTCCATTTTAATGTCGGATATTAGACATACCGTAGCGATGAAATGGCGCGTTATATAATCATACAATCTCCACGAGTCGCCGTCGAGCTCGTTTCTGGTTGCGTGTTTCATAGGTGTTATAGGAGGGTGGTCACCCGCGTCGTGACCTTTCTTCGGTCTGTTGATGCCCGCCGCTAGTATCTTCCGGACCTCCTCACCCCAATCGGGATTATTCTGCTGTTGTTTCAGCGTCGAACTGAAGCGAGATCAAGTCACGATAAAATAACACCTCTATGCATCATTTGCATATAATTAATTATCTTACTGCAGATCGAAATTTTCGGGGTATGATGTCGTTTCAGTTCGAGGATAACTTATGTATCCTTGAGTATAAAGTCTTTCCGCAATTTGCATGGCGTGCTGTGGGCCCATTCCCAAGCCGGAACTCGCGACTCGCATCAATTCCACGGTATTTAAGGCTATGGGTCGTGATTTTGATTTTTCTGTACTTTGTACACTCATTACGCTACACATTGTTGAATTTTGAATGTTTTCATGTTTGCAATTTAGCATAATTCACTAATAGTCCATAAGTGCACAAGATATTACTTACGTTGCATAATTGTATTCTTTAACATGGCTTAAGAACATGTTTGCAACTTCTTTGTCGAAAGAACGTACATGGCTCCAGTTTAATACAATGTCTTGTCCATCAGTACACTTGATGGTTACCTAGAAATATAATTAAATTTATATATTATGTTACTTTTTGTTTTTAATATAAATCTATTATTTTATCATGTATATTGACATAATAGGTCAATCAAGCAAGAAAGAACCATATACCTGCAACACCCAATATGGATCTGGCTTAAAAGTTTGGATCTCATCATGCCTCTGTACACAAAATCCTAACGTTGGGGTTTGACACGGACCATAAGAAATTAAAGATACATCTAGATCTCCATATTTGCCCTAAAAACACAATATTTATATCATGTGAATACATATGAGGAAATCTACGTGATATTTTATGTAGTCTGATTTAACTGAAAATGACTCACTTGAAAAAATTTAGTTTGATAACGTGTAAATGCACAGCCTATTCGCAAATCTAGCTCTTGACGCGCATCAACACTTTTCGCTTCATTTTCATTAGGCTTTATTAGATTTTGTAAAGCAGATTTTATGTCCTTCTCTGTAATTGCAGAGAATCGTGCTCGCCAAATATCCTATTAAAAATTATGTATTATTAATCAAATACATAAGAAAATATATGATCAAATCAAAACTTGTGTCTTACATATTATTTTAAGAGTTGTAAATAATGTAATGCTCACATTTGGGTGTAACTTCCTGTGCATTCCTTGCTGTACCGCATTTATAACTTCAAAGCAAATATTTTCACCTTCTTTGTCGCAATCTAACCATAATATTAAATAATCGCAATGTGATCCTTCCTTGGCCAAAATATATGGTATTTTCAATTTAGGTAGAGCTTCTTTTTTCTCAGTCGGGCATGAGAATAATTCTGCCTAAAAGCATGAAAGGTCCAATTATATACTATCAGATGCGTGACAATGAACAAAGATCCCATATATTTAATCTTACTGGATCCACTTTGTCCCAATTGTTGTATTTCCCAATAAAATCCAATGTCATGACATGTCCACATACAGATGTCATTTTAAAATTTACCGTCTCATACATGAATTGATCTACCCATTCGTGGACGGGACAGGTACCATTTAATCCTAAAAAAAAAAAAATAAAATAATACGAAATATAAAAAGAGGAGTACATAGGAAACAACTTGACAATTTGTTAACATACCTTTTCTGGTCACACACCGTCCATTGCTCAATATATTGGCAAGGGATGCTGCTAAAGAGGGTTTTTCTGCAACCATTAAAGCAACCTTCATTTTGATGCAATATTTTTTTCATATGTTATCATTCCAAGTTGATACTATTTTACGCGACTGTTCGATACGCCCTCTGCATCCACTTTCGATGTTGGAACTATTTCGCTACATCCACTTTCTAGTCCTGCCGATAACGTTTTTCATTTGGTGCGTGTCCGTGCTACGTACACAATTTCCGCGGCTTTGATTCATTGGAAAATTATTAATTTTGTGAATCATGGTATATGAAATATCATAAAAAGCAAATAAAAAATGTTCATGTGTATTTTATTAATAATCGTACAATATATCTCTTGCATTTCTCCTTCTATCTCGATATTCTTCCAACATTATCGATAATACATAACATTTTAAAAGAAGTAAAATAAGTTTATTACACGCAGTTACTTTGAATAAAAGTATACCTGATAATGTAATATTAATTCGACAGAAACTTTTTTCCTAACAACATTTTGACAAACAAAAAGTCTTTCACCGCTGTTTTACATAATGCCTTCTGCCAATACTCATATTGTTTATTCATTCATAAAATACATTTCCATTTTTTTTCAACAGGGCTTACGTTTACATGAATTACTGTACGTAGGAACAGACTCAAATCTCAAATCGTAAACATTATAAAACAATTTCCTTCATACACCATTAAAATACAGAGTTTACAAAACTTTTTTCAAAGCTTTACACTCATAAAACTGTGTTTATAGAGTTTACGATGTTCCATTGTACTATAAACATATACAAATATCTTGATATAGAGTGAAGATTTTTATTCTGGACATCGTTTAAAATAATTTGAGCATTGTTATAGAAATATTGATATCTTTTGGCGATATTTTTTTATATTCGCGCTGATTTTTTCGCTGATACGCATGATTTAAATTTTATAATGTAGAATAGTACAAAGGACTATGCACATATACATATACATGCATATATATATACGAGGGCGGTCCGATAAGTCCTTAGCCTACAAAAGAAAAACGAAAATTTTGGAAAAGTGGCAATTTATTTCTCAACATAGTCTCCTTTTAGCTCGATACACTTGACCCAGCGATGCTCCAACTTCTTTAACCCATCTGAAAAATACGTTTTCTCGAAGTCTGCAAAGTAGGCCTCCGTGGCGGCGATGACCTCCTCATTCGACTCAAATTTCTGCCCGGCGAGTGACTTTTTCAAGTT